TGTGAATATTATAGGGATGAATACTGTATGCTTATGAATACTGTGATTTGCAAATATATGTCTAGTTTCAACATAGAATGTCTCATTTTTTTCCTTCTTGATTCAGGTGTTAACCTTGTATAGAATGTTGTTTTATGAAGTTGTGCAGTTGATTCAAATCTTGAAAGACAAAACAGAGGTGAAAGCAACCAACAGATTGGAGTTTAATAAATTTCTTTATTTTATTGAAACTCTGTATTTTTTTTACCAAAATGTTTTTTAATTATATGGATGTAGATTTTACCAAAATTCGTGTGCTTATGTTGTCTTTTTACTTGTAAGTGGTTTATCTATAATCAAGAAGTCATGTAATTTATTATACCTGATGATAGTCATCGTGTTTAGACGATCAAAATTAAATTTGGCAAGAATTGTGAAAATTAACGTGAACTCGATAAGATTGAATTCAAAATATTTTAAGATTCACAAATTTCAAAATGTATATGTTATTTAATACTATATTAACATTAAAGTATTAACATTTATTGAATAATCAAATTTATTGAATAAAATATTATCAAAATTTCTGGTCACAACGAGCCTATTACAATTGTTTCTTAAGTTCATAACATAACCACCATCCATAGTTTGTGCACTCTCTCTTAAACCATGTTATATGGGCTTGGCCCAGCCCATGAGGAATTAAAAAAACAAATCCATTAGTCACACATGGGGCAATTAATTAGAATATATGGCTGCACATTCAAAAAGAAAACAACTAAGGGCTGCTATGTGAGTGAAAAAACGACTGAGGCTGCTGGATGTCAAAACTATGGCTACAAAATAGAAGAAAACAACAAAGGTTGCCAGTGTGGAGAGAAAGAAAGGAAAAATGGTTTTTCTTCCAATCTTTGGGTGTGGATTTTACACAGGTATTTCTCTACACTGTACAAATTAGAGATTTCTCTGAGTGGTATATTTTGAGTACTCGAGATAGGTGTAGTATTCAAAGTAGGTATCTCACATGTTTTATCAAATTGATGGTTTGTGGTGAGATTTGTTGTTTTAAAGATTGATTATTGTTGTATTCCTAATTTGTTGAGAACTCAAGTTTTGCTTCAATCTTTTACTTGCATATTTAATCACTCTAATTAGTTGCTTGAATTGTTGAATTTATTCTTGCCAAAAGTAGTAACTGCCGAACAAACCCAACATCCTATGTAAATCTCTCCCTTAAGTAAACCAAACTATGCCATAGTGGTTGCAAAGTATTTAAGAAAACACATCAGATATGCCTTTTAAGCAATCCACTCTTCAGATTCATCTACCTCCTCCCACTCAAGTTTCTGTAAATATAATTTTAGTTTCACTTAAAAAGGATTTTACAGTATAACATAACTTTTTTTTTTTTTTTGATAACCGTGGATGTTTGGGTCAACTTGCGCGCACCTCAACTAATTCCACAGAGCCCTGAAGTTTACGACCGGGTACTCACCTCAGTGGCCCTGAGGGGGCTCTAACTGGTGACCATTGGGGAGCAAACCCAAGACCTGACCAATTGAACAACCCCTCAAGATTACAGTATAACATAACTCAATAGCTCTCGACCATGTTTGTTATGCACACTTGGAGAAAACTGACAAGTACAACTAAACAAGATTTTAACAAATTTCCCTTCCGTCCAATCTTAGCCATTATTTGGCCGAGATTAAAATCAAATTTTTAGTAAATTTTTATAATATTTAATGAAACGTGTGGTTAGAAAATTGTGAATCCCATGAACTATGTGATTAAAATTAATTGTTGATTTTGAACTGAGATTTTAATTCGATTTTAATCCAAACCAAACAGGAGCTTAATGTGTGCTTCAATGCCCAATCATATTCTAACAAAATTCCGACTTCCGTCTGTTTTATTATCACTCGAAAAATAAAATACGAGAAATAGATCTGAAGCAAACCAAACCTTCAGAATCTGTGCCTATCTTTTCTATTTTAACGACAAACAATCTAATTGAAAACCTGATATGTTAACAACCTTAGGCAGTAATCTAAGACTTAGCGATAATAAAAACAAAAAAATTGATTAAATCAACAATAGCATCAGAGAGATTCCCATTAGACTTGGTCATCTTTCTCCAAAAGGAGTTCTGATGTCCCTGTCTATTTTCTCATCACCTGCTTTCTTTCATATATATTTGATATTTCAATCACCTCAATGTCTTGAACCAAAAAATGAATATAAATATAAAGACTATAGAATAAAGCTATCTTGATGCCTTCTTTTCACAGTGAAGCACTCAAAGTATATTTATCACCATCACAGGCAGTGCCATTTTCCAGTAAAATACCAAAATACTCCATAAAATCAATGCATCAGAGATTCTGATTTCCTGTTGATTAATGACTCACCATTCCCCCAAAAGGAGTATGACAAATTTGAAAATCATCACTTGCATATGATAATAATATCAAAATATAAGAAAATTATCGATAAAAAGAAAAATTTAATTGGCCTCTCATTACAATAAATAAAAGTTTAGAAATATGGAAAAATGTAATTACGAACATCTCACTCAAAAAGAGATTACCATGTAGCCAATGAAGAGCAAAATTCTGCAGCCGTAGAGAATGCAAAATTAGGGTTTTTATGACTACTGCGACTTTGTGGATATACGACTGTATATAAAGGGAATATGCTGTATGTGAAAATTTTCTGGGTCATTCAAGGTTAAGCAGTTGGGCCGCTAGGGTTTATGAAGAGAGACGGAAAAATTTGCAGAGACGCCCTTGTAGAATAATTGTATACACTGTTCAACACTAGTGTAATTTAAAAATAGATAAAAATGATTGGTAAATGAATTAATAATATTTGTAAATTCAATAGAATGTGTGGTTGAATATAAAATTTGATAATTTTTAAACTATTTAAAAATATTGCCAAATGGGTAATTGGCCCCAGTATGAAAATAGATTTTTAGCAAATTTTGATTGTATGGTTCAAAAGTTGTGGATCACGTGAATTGTATGGTTAAAATTAATATTTACTTTGACTTAAATTTTAATCAAATATTTTTTTGCTGAATTAAACACGAGCTTAATCTTTTACTTTTCTAGTTTTGTAATTTTACTTTAGTTAGATAGCCACATGAGTATCTGTTGACAATGTTAAAAAATAGAATACAAGGCCTACATTGAGAAAATTAAAATATAGCCCATGTTTGACGACCATTATTATGAGAAAATG